CTACCTCACATAATTAGAAATGAATAAGTAATTCCCCATATATAAATAATGTGGGGTATAACATTACAAAAGAATTGCCAGAGTCTAAGCAAATTTTTCATTCTTCAATTTGATTTGGGTTCGTTGTTAAACTAAATAAATAAAAAAAATACATTTTCAATTCAACATTTACAGATAGCAATTATTTATATTTTTCATGTTTTACGACGTGACATTGCAATTATGAAGCACTTATCCGACAGGCCAACTTATCCCATAAATTGCTCGTCCCACATTTGGGTCACCTGCCAAGCTGTGACAGTTCTTTACGGGACTCTTAATAAAAAATACAAAGAAAAAAGATCGCGTGCTCCCTTTTGACCTAGTTAATAATTTAGATACAATGAATGGCTAAGATGAGTGTCAGCAGCATTTTGGGTGTCACATTTGACACTAAGTCTAATTTAATGGAAAACCGTCAAGGCATTGTCTTTACTCACACTGCTGCTGCTACTATTATTGCCCTAGGTGTGGTTGTTGTTGTTGTTGTTGTTGTTGCTGCTGTTGCTGGGTGAACACGCAACAACTTGTTTGGCTCGAAGGCTCAGCTAAGCGCCGCAATTCGCATGTATCTAATATTTTAGGTGACATATCTATTTATATGCAAATGCCACGCCTTCCGGGCAAACAAACACACACTCACACAGAGGCTCACACACCCACACACATGTACTATTATTACCTGGCTGTGGCTGTGTGCGTGCCAAAGGAGCTAAACTTCCGTTTTCGGCTGAAATAGTTCGCGCTATAAATCAAAACACATACGCGGCTCACTATTAAAGAGTTGCCAGGCAAAAAGGGTTGTGAAAAAATAAAACTAATAAATCTAAGGCCAATTAATTGGCTTAACTGTTGCCGGTAGGAGGAGAGAAAGAGAGAGAGAGAGAGAAGCCAAAGGCTGAGTCTGTCTCTGACTGTGGCCAAGAACCGGCAGCGCCTTTGCGCCCCTCTTGGGGGCAGACAATTTATGGCCCAAACATAAACTTGAACCCGCATATAATAAATCATAACATTTTACAGATAATAGAAAACCGGCTGGCATACATGAAATCTTGAATACTGAATCATGTATCCAGTATCCTTTCGAGCCCTGCGTGTGTGTGTGTGTGTGTCTTAATCGCAGCGCCTGCGGCTTACAATTTTAATAAACAGCTGCAGGAATCAAATCAGAAAAAGAACATCATAGTGTAAAAAGTGGAAAAGGTTTTTTCTACACTCTCTCTCTTTCTCTCTCTCTCTCTCTCTCTAGCAGGCGCAGACACATAATTTAAGCGCTGGCTGAGGCCAAGGCACGCTCGCACAGGATGTGCTCCTTATATCCGCCGGCGTCGCACTGAAGCCGAAGCCGAAGTCGAGCCACAATGCCCAACCAATTCAATCCAATCAAAACGAACCGAGTTTCTAATAGTTTCTGCCTCTTCTTCTGTTGCTTCTTTCTGTTGTTTTTATGGCGACTAAAAAACTTTTTGTTGCTGTCCTCAAAGAGTGCTGCTCTAACAGCTGTTGGTAGCTCTGACTCTGATGAAAATCTGAATGAATCAGAATATAGACAATATATATGTAATTCATGGTTTATTGCTCATGATTTATCATCATTTCACATATATATTTCGGCTTTTTATATAATTTTTTCCTCTTATCATAGCAGGCGACGATTTATCAATCATCTCTTGGCACAGCTTTGCATTGGGTTTTTCGTAAAGCTTTAGTATCAATTCAACACACGAATAGTTCAAAACGTTTTCCTATGAAAGAATAATATTTTTTTTAAGTCAGAACTTTTCTTTTAAAATGCTTTCCCTTTAATTCGAAAAAATGCTGTAACTGAGGTAAGTGAAAAAAAAATAAAATAAATAAAATAAAAATCATTTTAGCTGGGTAAATATCAAGGCGCGCGAGCTATCGTATTTACTGTAAGGCCGCCTTCAGCTGGCCGGCCCGGCCACGCCCCACTGACATGTAATGACGTCATTTACATGGTGCAACAACATTCATTACAAGCATTTGCTGGCGCCTGGCTTAGCTCGACTTGCCTTGCCTTGCCTTGCCTTGCCTTGCCTTGCCTTGGCTTGGCTTGGTTGGGCCGAGGCGTTGATGTTGCAATCGCGTCCAATTCATAAATCAACGGGCTTTGCTGGCGGCAACTCAAGGCTAGATTGGGATATACATACATATATTTGCCCAGAGATATATACAATAATAATTCCCATTTTACTTTTCTCGCAGCGCAATCAGAATGGCAGCTTGGGTCGATTTTCAGATCAAAAGATCAAAAGATATGGGCTTGATATTTGAGAAAACGCAGAGTAAATCAATGATTTCTTTCGAAGGTGAGCAAGCAAGCTGCAAGTATGTTGAATCTAACTTAATTTGCAAATGGGGGCGCATTAAGAGGGCACAGAAACAACCGTAATTCTCACAAGCTGCGGGCCACTGATGAAGAAGAAGAAGAATTCTAATCGCCATCAAATCGAGCTATCAATCGCTGTTCTATTTATGTTTAGTTGGATATAAATCTGTACCGTCTGTTCATTCGAGGCAGTGCCCCTTACCATCGACATTAAGCAGCTCGCATAACGAATGCCACACAAAGCGCATTCAAGTTTCCAGCCGAACGCTCGATGATCTTGCATTGCTGAGGATATTTTTCAAAATTCATTGTTATTTTAATTGTTGACATAATTTTAACACTAAGACGTCCACTACCACACACGAATAAAATTAAAAAAAACATACATTCAATTGGTTTTACTTATCAGAAGATAGCAAAATCGAAAACTTATTTATAATGTCCTATATATGTATATTTGTTAGGATATTCATACTAAGCGTCTTATCTGTATATAACCGTCCCGATATGTAGCTTTAAGAACTACATTGCTATACAGCTTACTTATAACTATTACGCATAGATTATAGTCTTGAGTATCTAAAGCTTATGAGAATAAGATAAGCGTACCCAAAAACCTTATGTTGCATTTGAGATCCATATCCTTAAAAACCACGGAGTGATGTAATCCAATGCAACAAAAAATACCACAGAAATTATTCTCATATCAAGTAACAGAACTGTTTTATTATAGCCGTATTTGGTATTCTCAATGGGCTTAGGCTATAACATTTGCATGGACTCCAATCGGGGGAACTATAATTAATCCACACCTGAAATTCCAAGTACTTATGGCATTTAAGACACGCCTAAAGTCCTAGTTACCATCACTGATTATAAAGAAATAAGATGAATGTTCAGAAAAGCCTATAAGCTATTTAAGGACAAGAAAAGAGTAAATTTCATTAATCTCTAAAATTTGAATTGTGAATATTAAATTTCGTTGCTCAGAGATTCCGGCTTATGGCCATACCAAAATCGTAAACCTAAACTCCCATTGCCGTGAGTACAGGGTATAACGAAATCAGTTCATGTTTAGTTCTAAAATGTAAGTAGTCTAAAAACATAGTACTCACTGCTTTATCAATCAGTGACCCACAGCACCTACCGGAATCCGTTTTCCATATAGTTCAGTATTCAGTCACAGCTTGTGAAATAAACAACTAGTTTTTTTTTTTAATTTTACATCTTTTTAGTTTGTATTTGGAAATTTGAGTAATAAATTTTGTATATGTGCATATAAATTGTATCAAGAAAAATATTTATAAAACAAAAAAAAGGTAAGTAACATAAAAGTGAAAATTGAATATAGAATTTTTTTGTTTTTTTTTTTTTTTTTTTTTTTTTTGTGTATAAGTTGGTGATTGAAGCAACTCTCTCTTTTTTTTCCTTTTTTATTTTTGTGTATAAGTTTGTGATTGAAGCAACTCTCTCTTCGCACACGCACGCAACGTCAACGCTAATGTGAGGGCTGCTCTGTGTGGGCTTTGGCTCTGCCGGGATAATGTCGAGGCAGCCGCTCGTAAACATAAATCCAAGTGACGCTAATTGTTTGTTGCAATTACTGCTGCAGTTGCTGCCACTGCACGGCTACGTGCAGCAAACCAGACAGCAGCAACAGCAGCAGCAGCAACAACAGTTGACAGCAGAGTGGGGGGCTAGGTGGCCAAAGGGCTCAATGCATGCAAATTTTGTTGCATCTGTCGAGCTGCTGCTCCTGCTGCTCCTGCTACCTTTGCTGCTACAACAGCAAACAATTACTCAAACATTGTTGCAACTGCACGTTGCATTGCCTCCGCTGCTGGTGCTGCTGCTGCTGCTGCTGTAGCCACTGCTGCTCGTTGTGCGTGCTAAATGGCAACTATTCTGGCGGCTAATGATAATCGCTCAACGCCCTCTGCACTTACCTTTTGTGCGCCATCAGCCAGACTCCCTCAGTGCTGTTAATTCCTCTTTCAGCTCTTGCCCAGCTCTCGCATCTTCAGCTGGAAATGCTGCCGCTGCTTGTCAATTTCTTAATCAAAGGCATAAAGCCCCTTACAACTAGCTGCCTGATACACTGCTTCCCTCTACATATTCTCCAAGTGCAGGTTGCTCCATTACAGGCCACTTGGCTTTAGCGACTTTTTCTTTGTACGCCTTGAAGTGCGCCTCTCTGCCTTTCGCAGTCATCTGACAGATTCTCTCTTGATATAGGATGTTTACTCTCACAATTTGGTCCATTAGCTGCATAAGAGCTTCATCGAGGAATCTTTTGTGAGGCAAAGCTTTACTCATTAATTGCCTTACAATGGCACATTTGTTCTGTTCCATTTAATCGTTGATTTGGTCAGCAATATGTTAAAGCAGCTCAAGGGACAGCCATTATTTTATATT